CTGAGCTACAGATGGTGCGTCTCCAAAGTGGACGAGAATTTGAATGCCATGAAGATTATAAGGTGTCCGGAAATGGCTCGTAAGTGACGGAAAATTGACAAAATGCAAAGTTCATTGCTATATATTTGTCTTTATAAGTTAATGTATAATTGTTATTTAAATTGTTGATTGTGCAATTTTTGTAACATGATCCTACTTCCTAGAGTGGTAGGTTTCGAGATAATAGTTGTCATGTTTGTTTATCAGGAAATATTGATCTTCCCCTCAGCTGTGACAGAAGGGGAGAGAAAGAAAAGAAAAAACATATATACAATGTATATAGCTATATGTATGCTATTGTAGATGTGCCTTTATATACATTGTTATTATGTATGTTAGAGTATAAGTTTTATTCTCATAGCAAAAAATCCAAAAATTATCGTAGAATATAATTTTCAAGGTAATTGTTCATCTTGGGCAGCTCTTGTTTTTATTATTTTGATATCTGTCGAAAGTGGATGTTTCCTCCCCAGCTCCGCCCGAAGAACCACCAGTGGGCGCTGCCACTACGGCCACAGGTGAGGCAGTGAACCTTTTTTTAACCCAGTTCTCATAGGCGCATATTCACATGAATGCAAATTGTATGCATTTGTGTCAGTATCTTTATGTATACACAAACATGTGTAAACAGAGAAGACTGCCAACAATAAGTTTGTGAATTTTGATTTAGTAAACGAATAGTTTATTTTGAACATGGGTGTATAGTCATGAATGATGAAAATGTAAACTGCTTGTTTGTTTGTACTATATATATATATATATATATATATATATATATATATATATATATATATATATATATATATATATATATATATATGTATATATGTATATATATATATATATATATATATATATATATATATATATTATATATATATATTTGTATAAGTGTATATTTATTATATTCATGTGTATATATACATTTGTTCTCAATGTCATTTCATAATACTTTGAGAATTTTCTGATAAAACTGAATGATAAGGATTCTATAGGATTTGAGAGAAAATGCTATTATTAAGCATAATTGTTTTCCGATAAGCTATAAACTTAAAGGAGTGTTCAATAAGTTCAGTGAAACGTGTGTGAATGTACCTCATGTGTGATCATGACATGTATATTTATTTGAGTGTGTGCATTGGTACGTGAGAAGAAAATGAAGGTCTATGTCATTTCCGAATATCTTTATTGTTCATAGATACTTATCCTTTTGAAAATCATATTTTCCCTTTCAGCTGTAATTGAACTGCCACCTTCAGTAACCTCCAGCGAATCCCCAGGTGAGAATGTGAACCTCTTATGTGTGATCATGTTGACATTGTACATTTGACCATGTACTGTCAGTGACACTTCTCGACACATACGGACATAAATGCACTTACCTGTGAATACTATAAATTCACATCCCAGTACTGTATGCTGATATATATATATATTCATGTGTGTATATGTATTTGTTGTCAATGTCATTTCATAATGCTTGAAACATTTTCTGATAAAACTTTATGATAAACATTCCATAGCATTTGATAAAAAAATGCCAGTATTAGACAATCGTTTTCCTATAAGCTATAAGCTTAAAAGAGTTAGATATGAACCCAAATTTAAGCATTTGTCCTTTTGTGTTTAGATAATGAACTGTATACCTTACCCTCAGCTCCAAGTGAACAGCCACCAGTGAACACCACCGCATGTGTTCCCTTCCAACATGATGGAGAAATCGTGAGTGGATGCGTTGGCGAAGAAGGGATGGAGGAGACAGTCGAAATGGAGGGAGAAGGAGGAGTGATAAACAGGGAGACAGTGAGCGGTAGATGGTGCGCCTCAGCGGTAGACGAGAATCTGAATGCAGTGTCAATTATAGCCTGCCCGACCATGCCTCGTAAGTGAAATATCTCTTATTTTTCATATGTATGTATATGTATATATGTATATATATGTATATGTAATTGTGTGTGTTCATATAGATTTGATATGGATATAAACATACTTATTTATACATTCATTCATTCATGCATGTATTATTTTTGAATCGGTATGTAACTAGATAAGTATGTGTATATGTGTATATATGTATACACGAGTGTATGTGTATACGTAACTTGAAAGTGAAGGTGGTTATCATTTCTTGATATCTTTATGTCATTTAAAGCCACCTCCAGTAATTTGTAGGGAATCCCCAGGTGAACCTCTTTATGTGTAATCATGTTGACATTGATGGTTTTGACCAGGCACTGTCATTGACACATTGACACACAGGGACATAATTGCACTTGCCTGTGAATATTATAAATTCACATTCCACTATTGTTTATACATGCTGAATTAGATATCTATATAAATGTAAAATTTATATTTGTGGTTATATTGTGTTTGTATACGTGGATAGTTGTGAACAAAGTTGTAATGATTTTTATCATTTTGGAATATCTCATGATCAGTGGAGCCACAGGCAAATTAGTTTTTAAAGTGTATATTTTTTATACTTTTTAGCTGAACAGCCAGTGACTACTATAAAAGTGTCTATTTGATATGAATACCTTTTTATCATTATTTATTTTTAGTCAGTTTAGTATATTTCCCAATCTGAGCTTCAACTGAACTATGACAGAAAAGTGTTATGAAAATCTGCCTTGGAGGTATATAGGAATATGAATATCTTATTCATTATGGCATTCCTAACCTTTCCTTGTTAGTGATAAGTTGCAATTCTTTAAATACACTTATTTTCTTAACCCGTAAATGCATATATCGTATATACGGATTTATGGTTGTGTGAGTAAATAGATTTGTAAAGTTCATAGTCATATTGGAATTTCTTGATTCTTTTCTATTTGATCCAATAAGTATCAAAAGTGCTAGTATGAGATATGTCTGTCCTTTCTATTAGAAAACGTTTTCCCGTTTCAGCAGTAACTGAACAGCCACCGTTAGTAACCCCAGGGCCACACTCAGGACCGATTGTGTATGAAGGTAGGAAAGCATTACGTGAACCCATGTATATATTGGTAATGTATAGATGTTTTGCCCGTGGCAATTATGATTTTGAAAGCGAATCCCACACCCATTTGAAGTCATGCTAAGGAATCTATTGAAGTGGAACCGCAGTAGACAGTTACCAGAATATACGATCTATTATTCCGTGCCCAACCGTGTATCGTAAGTGGATTATACTCCAGTACTACTCATTTTTTTCTGATACATTCGCGCATACATTGTATATAGATACGATCGCATGGGATGAGATTTATAATTTAATAAATGAATATATTTTTATACATACACCTAGTAAGTGAAACAGAAATTCCCTTTATCTCTCTATATATGTATATATTTGTATATACATACATATATACATAAATGTATATATTCAATACATTTTCATAATAGTTTGAACATATTCTGATATAACTTCATAATAAGGATTCTATAGGATTTGAGCCTAATTGCCAGTATTAGACATACTCGTCCTCTAAGCTATAAGATTAAAGTAGAAAAAGTATGAATGGGAATGAATATCATCACATTACCTGGGTAGTACTTGACTAGTTTCGAATATATCTTGGTTAGAAATACATGTATTTCTGACGAAGATATATTCGACACCAATAAGATACATCTTTTGTATTTGAATTATAAGGATGTCTTAGATATAATTCCGAATTTCTGCCAGTCATTGTGTAAATCCTTATAACAGCGTTGAGAGAATTGAGTTCAAACATTTCCCTCAGCTCCAAGTGAACAGCCACCAGTGAACGGCAGTGAATGTGTTCCCTTCCGACACGATGGAGAAATCGTGAGCGGATGTGTTGGCGAAGAAGGGGTGGAGGAGACAATCGAAATGGAGGGAGAAGGAGGAGTGATAAACAGGGAGACAGTGAGCGGCAGATGGTGCGCCTCAGCGGTAGACGAGAATCTGAATGCAGTGTCAGTTATAGCCTGCCCGACCATGCCTCGTAAGTGAAATTTCACACATATATATATGTGTGTGTACATATGTGCCTATACATATACATACATATAAAAATCAAGTTATGCATGTATTTATTATCTCTAAGTAAATGAATAAAGGAATAAGAGAAATGTGTATATATAGTTTATACATATATATATGCATATATACTCGTATGTATGTATATTTATTTGAGTGTATGCATTGGTACATGAGAAGAAAATGAAGGTCTTTGTCATTTCCGAATATCGATATTTCATAGATACTTATCCTTTTTAAAAATCATATTTTCCCTTTCAGCTGTAATTGAACTGCCACCTTCAGTAACCTCCAGCGAATCCCCAGGTGAGAATGTGAACCTCTTATGTGTGATCATGTTGACATTGGTGGTTTTGACCATGTACTGTCAGTGACACTCCTCGACACATACGGACATAAATGCACTTACCTGTGAATACTATAAATTCACATCCAGTACTGTATGCTATATATATATATATATATATATATATATATATATATATATATATATATATATATATACATATATATATATATATATATATATATATATATATATATATATATATATATATATATATATATATATATATATACATGTGTGTATATATTTGTTGTCAATGTCATTTCATAATACTTTGAACATTTTCTGATAAAACTTTATGATAAACATTCCATAGCATTTGATAAAAAATGCCAGTATTAGACAATCGTTTTCCTATAAGCTATAAGCTAAAAGAGTTAGATATGAACCCGAATTTAAGCATTTGTCCTTTTGTGTTTAGATAATGAACTGTATACCTTACCCTCAGCTCCAAGTGAACAGCCACCAGTGAACGCCACAGCATGTGTTCCCTTCCGACACGATGGAGAAATCGTGAGTGGATGCGTTGGCGAAGAAGGGATGGAGGAGACAATCGAAATGGAGGGAGAAGGAGGAGTGATAAACAGGGAGACAGTGAGCGGCAGATGGTGCGCCTCAGCGGTAGACGAGAATCTGAATGCAGTGTCAGTTATAGCCTGCCCAACCATGCCTCGTAAGTGAAATTTCATATATATATATATATATGGGCCTATACATATACATATAAACATCTATTTATGCTCTCGTTTATTTTCTATAAGTAAATGAATAAAGGAATAAGAGAAATGTGTATATTATATTATATACAATATATGCATATATACTCGTATGTATGTTTATTTATTTGAGTGTGTGCATTTTGTGAGAGAAAATGAAGGTCTTTGTCATTTCCGAATATCTTGATACTTCATAGATACTTATCCTTTTTAAAAATCATATTTTCCCTTTCAGCTGTAATTGAACTGCCACCTTCAGTAACCTCCAGTGAATCCCCAGGTGAGAATGTAAACCTCTTATGTGTAATAATGTTGACATTGGAGGTTTTGACCATGTACTATCAGTGACATAAATGCACTTTCCTGTGAATACTATAAATTCACATCCCAGTACTGTATGCTGATATATATATATTAAATGTGTATATATATTTGTTGTCAATGTCATTTCATAATACTTTGAACATTTTCTGATAAAACTTTATGATAAGCATTCCATAGCATTTGATAAAAAATGCCAGTATTAGACAATCGTTTTCCTATAAGCTATAAGCTTAAAAGAGTTAGATATTAACCCGAATTTAAGCATTTGTCCTTTTGTGTTTAGATAATAAACTGTATACCTTACCCTCAGCTCCAAGTGAACAGCCACAGTGAACGCCACAGCATGTGTTCCCTTCCGACACGATGGAGAAATCGTGAGTGGATGTGTTGGCGAAGAAGGGATGGAGGAGACAATCGAAATGGAGGGAGAAGGAGGAGTGATAAACAGGGAGACAGTGAGCGGTGGTGCGCCTCAGCGGTAGACGAGAATCTGAATGCAGTGTCAGTTATAGCCTGCCCCAACCATGCCTCGTAAGTGAAATTCATTATATATATATATATATATATATATATATATATATATATATATAATATATATATAATATAATATATATATATATATATATATAAATTATCTATTTATGCACTCGTTTATTTCTATAAGTAAATGAATAAGGAATAAGAGAAATGTGTATATTATATAGTATATACATATATATGCATATATACTCGTATGTATGTCTATTATTTGAGTGTGTGCATTTTTCGTGAGAGGAAATGAAGGGCTTTTTTCGAATATCTTGATATTTCAAAGATATTTATCCTTTTTAAAAATCATATTTTCCCTTTCAGCTGTAATTGAACTGCCACCTTCAGTAACTTCAGCGAATCCCAGGTGAGTGCTTTATGATGTGTTAATGTTGACATTGGAGGTTTTTGACCATGTACTATCAGTGACATAAATGCACTTTCCTGTGAAACTTAAATTCACATCCCAGTATTGTAAACTGATATATGTATATTCATGTGTGTATATATATTTGTTGTCAATGTCATTTCATAATACTTTGAACATTTTCTGATAAAACTTTATAAGCATTCCATAGCATTTGAAAAAATGCCAGTATTAGACAATCGTTTTCCTATAAGCTATAAGCTTAAAAGAGTTAGATATTAACCCAAATTAAGCATTTGTCCTTTTGTTTAGATAATAAACTGTATCCTACCCTCAGCTCCAAGTGAACAGCCACCAGTGAACGCCACAGCATGTGTTCCCTTCCGACACGATGGAGAAATCGTGAGTGGATGCGTTGGCGAAGAAGGGGTGGAGGAGACAATCGAAATGGAGGGAGAAGGAGGAGTGATAAACAGGGAGACAGTGAGCGGCAGATGGTGCGCCTCAGCGGTAGACGAGAATCTGAATGCAGTGTCAGTTATAGCCTGCCCGACCATGCCTCGTAAGTGAAATTTCATATATATATATATATATATGTGCCTATACATACATACATATAACATCTATTTATGCATTTATTTTCTATAAGTAAATGAATAAAGGAATAAGAGAAATGTGTATATACATATAGTATATACATATATGCATATATACTCGTATGTATGTATATTTATTTGAGTGTGTGCATTGGTTCGTGAGAGAAAATGAAGGTCTTTGTCATTTCCGAATATCTTGATATTTCATAGATACTTATCCTTTTTAAAAATCATATTTTCCCTTTCAGCTGTAATTGAACTGCCACCTTCAGTAACCTCCAGCGAATCCCCAGGTGAGAATGTGAACCTCTTATGTGTGATCATGTTGACATTGGTGGTTTTTGACCATGTACTATCAGTGACATAAATGCACTTTCCTGTGAATACTATAAATTCACATCCCAGTACTGTATGCTAATATATATATATATATATATATTCATGTGTATATATATATTTGTTGTCAATGTCATTTCATAATACTTTGAACATTTTCTGATAAAACTTTATGATAACATTCCATAGCATTTGATAAAAAATGCCCAAATGAGAATCCAGAGCTTAATAGCAAGTTAGATATCGAATTTAAGCATTTGTCCTTTTGTGTTTAGATAATAAACTATACCTTACCCTCAGTTCCAAGTGAACAGCCACCAGTGAACGCCACAGCATGTGTTCCCTTCCAACACGATGGAGAAATCGTGAGTGGATGCGTTGGCGAAGAAGGGATGGAGGAGACAATCGAAATGGAGGGAGAAGGAGGAGTGATAAACAGGGAGACAGTGAGCGGCAGATGGTGCGCCTCAGCGGTAGACGAGAATTGAATGCAGTGTCATTATATGCCCACCATGCCTGTAAGTGATATATATATATATATATATATATATATATATATATATATATATATATATATATATATATATATATATATATATATATATATATATATATATATATATGTATATGGGCCTATACATATACATATAAACATCTATTTATGTACTCGTTTATTTTCTATAAGTAAATGAATAAAGGAATAAGAGAAATGTGTATATATATATAGTATATACATATATATGCATATATACTTGAATGTATGTCTATTTATTTGAATGTGTGCATTTTTCGTGAGAGGAAAATGAAGGTCTTTGTCATTTCCGAATATCTTGATACTTCATAGATACTTATCCTTTTTAAAAATCATATTTTCCCTTTCAGCTGTAATTGAACTGCCACCTTCAGTAACTTCCAGCGAATCCCCAGGTGAGAATGTAAACCTCTTATGTGTAATGATGTTGACATTGGAGGTTTTGACCATGTACTATCAGTGACATAAATGCACTTACCTGTGAATACTATAAATTCACCCCAGTACTGTATGCTGATATATATATATTCATGTGTATATATATTTGTTGTCAATGTCATTTCATAATACTTTGAACATTTTCTGATAAAACTTTATGATAGAAAATGCCAGTATTAGACAATCGTTTTCCTATAAGCTATAAGCTTAAAAGAGTTAGATATGAACCCGAATTTAAGCATTTGTCCTTTTGTGTTTAGATAATGAACTGTATACCTTACCCTCAGCTCCAAGTGAACAGCCACCAGTGAACGCCACAGCATGTGTTCCCTTCCGACACGATGGAGAAATCGTGAGTGGATGTGTTGGCAAAGAAGGGGTGGAGGAGACAATCGAAATGGAGGGAGAAGGAGGAGTGATAAACAGGGAGACAGTGAGCGGTAGATGGTGCGCCTCAGCGGTAGACGAGAATCTGAATGCAGTGTCAGTTATAGCCTGCCCGACCATGCCTCGTAAGTGAAATATCTATTATTTTTCATATGTATGTATATGTTTATATGTATATGTAATTGTGTGTTCATATATATTTGATATAGATATAAACATACATATGCATACATTCATTCATTCATGCATGCATTATTTATGAATCGGTAGGTGTTGTTGATTACGTAATTTTATAAATGAGTGTATGTTTTATGTTATATCAACAAATGTTTGTCTTTTCTCCCTTAGTTGTGGCAGGAGGTAGAGGGAAAAAAGGGAAACAAGGAAATAATATCTATATATGTGTGGGTTTCATATAATGTTAAATAAGAGAAGTGTATGTGCCTTTCTAATAGCATTTTGAATTAAGAAACATACAGTGCTCTTTATTTTATTTTTATTTATATTTATTTATTTATTTATTTTTTTTTTTTCAAAACTTTGATGATACCGCTTGTGTTCATGATCATATCCGACCTTCTCGATATTTTTCTGTTTGATTTAAAGGTATGAAAAATGCCAGTTTCAGATATGTTTGTCCTTTTTTATTAGAATGCGTTTTACCCTTTCAGATGTAACAGAATCACCGCTAGAGACCACTAGTACATATGAGTATGAAGGTAGGAAAGCATTACGTAAACCCGTGTATACTTTACAGTAGTCTGTAGATCTTTCGGCCGCGACATCTCTGAATTTGAAGATGATTCCCATGTCATTTTGATGTAAAAAGGAATATATTGAATACAAATACACATTTATTTTTTTCGCTATGTAATATAAAATGAAATCCTTTTCCCAGCCTCAGCTGAAACGGAAGAGCCACCTTCAGAAAGTAGTGGGTGCGTTCCCTTCCGCTACGGAGAGGAAATCGTGAGCGGATGCCTTGGCGAGGAAGGGAAGGTGGAGACATTTGAGTTGGTGGGAGAGGGAGGAGCGAAGTTTAAGTTGACCCAGAGCCACAGATGGTGCGTCTCCGAAGTGGACGAGAATTTGAATGCCAGGAAGATTATAATGTGTCCGGAAATGGCTCGTAAGTGACGGAAAATTGACAAAATGCAAAGTTGATTGCTTTATATTTGTCTTTATAAGTTAATGTATAATTGTTATTTAAATTGTTGATTGTGCAATTTCTGTAACATGATCCTACTTCCTAGAGTAGTAGGTTTAGAGATAATAGTTGTCATATTTGTTTATCAGGAAATATTGATCTTCCCCTCAGCTGTGACAGAAGGGGAGAGAAAGAAAAGAAAAAATATATATACAATATATATAGCTATATGTATGCTAGTGTAGATGTGCCTTTATATACATTGTTATTATGTATGTTAGAGTATAAGTTTTATTCTCATAGCAAAAAATCCAAAAATTATCGTAGAATATAATTTTCAAGGTAATTGTTCATCTTGGGCAGCTCTTGTTTTTATTATTTTCATATCTGTCGAAAGTGGATGTTTCCTTCCCAGCTCCACCCGAAGAACCACCAGTGGGCGCTGCCACTACGGCCACAGGTGAGGCAGTGAACCTTTTTTTAACCCAGTTCTCATAGGCGCATATTCACATGAATGCAAACAGTATGCATTTGTGTCAATAGTTTTATGTATACACAAACATGTGTAAACAGAGAAGACTGCCAACAATAAGTTCGTGAATTTTGATTTAGTAAACAAATAGTTTATTTTGAACATTGGAGTGATATAGTCACGAATGATGAAAATGTAAACTACGTGTTTGTGTTTGTGCATATATATATATATATATATATATATATATATATATATATATATATATATATATATATATATATATATATACTCGTATATGTGTATATTTATTATATTCATGTGTATATATATATATATTTGTTCTCAACGTCATTTCATAATACTTTGAAATTTTCTGATAAAACTGAATGATAAGGATTCTATAGGATTTGAGAGAAAATGCTATTATTAAGCATAATTGTTTTCCGATAAGCTATAAACTTAAAGGAGTGTTACCTTCAATAAGTTCCAGCGAATCCCCAGGTGAGAATGTGAACCTTATGTGTGATCATGTTGACATTTGTGGTTTTGACCATGCACTGTCAGTGACACTTATCGAGACACACGGACAGAAATGCCGTTACCAGGGAATACTATAAATTCATATCCCAGTCCTGTATGCTGATTTAGATATCTATGATATATATATATATATATATATATATATATATATATATATATATATATATATATATATATATATATATATATATATATATATATATATTTGTTCTTAATGTCATTTCATAATACTTTGAACATTTTCTGATAAAACTTAATGATTCTATAGGCTTTAAGAAAAAATGCTAGTATTAGACAATCATTTTCCACTAAGCTATAAGCTTAGATATGTACCCGAATTTTAGCATTCGACTTTTTGTGTTTAGATGATAAACTATGTACCTTACCCCAGCTCCAAGTGAACAGCCACCAGTAAACGCCACTGAATGTGTTCCCTTCCGACACGATGGTGAAATTGTGAGCGGATGCGTTGGTGAAGAAGGGGTGGAGGAGACAATCGAAATGGAGGGAGAAGGAGGAGTGATAAACAGGGAGACAGTGAGTGGCAGATGGTGCGCCTCAGCGGTAGACGAGAATCTGAATGCAGTGTCAGTTATAGCCTGCCCGACCATGCCTCGTACGTTAAATTTCATATATATAAATATGTGTGTCTATACATATACATACATACATATAAACATCTATTTATGCATTTATTTATTTTCTATAATGAGTGAATTAAGGGATAAGAGAAATGTATACATATATACATTATGTACATATATATGCATATATACTCATATGTATGTATATTTATTTGAGTGTGTGCATTGGTATGCGAGAAGAAAATGAAGGTCTTTGTCATTTCCGAATATCTTGATTTTTCATAGATACTTATCCTTTTAAAAATCATATTTTCCCTTTCAGCTGTAATTGAACTGCCACCTTCAGTAACCTCCAGCGAATCCCCAGGTGAGAATGTGAACCTCTTATGTGTGATCATGTTGACATTGGTGGTTTTGACCATGTACTGTCAGTGACACTCCTCGACACATACAGACATAAATGCACTTACCTGTGAATACTATAAATTCACATCCCAGTACTGTATGCTGATACATATATATATTCATGTGTGTATATATATTTGTTGTCAATGTCATTTCATAATACTTTGAACATTTTCTGATAAAACTTTATGATAAACATTCCATAGCATTTGATAAAAAATGCCAGTATTAGACAATCGTTTTCCTATAAGCTATAAACTTAAAAGAGTTAGATATGAACCCGAATTTAAGCATTTGTCCTTTTGTATATATATATATATATATATATATATATATATATATATATATATATATATATATATATATGTATATGGGCCTATACATATACATATAAAACATCTATTTATGTACTCGTTTATTTTCTATAAGTAAATGAATAAAGGAATAAGAGAAATGTGTATATATATAGTATATACATATATATGCATATATACTTGAATGTATGTCTATTTATTTGAATGTGTGCATTTTTCGTGAGAGGAAAATGAAGGTCTTTGTCATTTCCGAATATCTTGATACTTCATAGATACTTATCCTTTTTAAAAATCATATTTTCCCTTTCAGCTGTAATTGAACTGCCCTTCAGTAACTTCCAGCGAATCCCCAGGTGAGAATGTAAACCTCTTATGTGTAATGATGTTGACATTGGAGGTTTTGACCATGTACTATCAGTGACATAAATGCACTTACCTGTGAATACTATAAATTCACATCCCAGTACTGTATGCTGATATATATATATATTCATGTGTGTATATATATTTGTTGTCAATGTCATTTCATAATACTTTGAACATTTTCTGATAAAACTTTATGATAAAAATGCCAGTATTAGACAATCGTTTTCCTATAAGCTATAAGCTTAAAAGAGTTAGATATGAACCCGAATTTAAGCATTTGTCCTTTTGTGTTTAGATAATGAACTGTATACCTTACCCTCAGCTCCAAGTGAACAGCCACCAGTGAACGCCACAGCATGTGTTCCCTTCCGACACGATGGAGAAATCGTGAGTGGATGTGTTGGCAAAGAAGGGGTGGAGGAGACAATCGAAATGGAGGGAGAAGGAGGAGTGATAAACAGGGAGACAGTGAGCGGTAGATGGTGCGCCTCAGCGGTAGACGAGAATCTGAATGCAGTGTCAGTTATAGCCTGCCCGACCATGCCTCGTAAGTGAAATATCTATTATTTTTCATATGTATGTATATGTTTATATGTATATGTAATTGTGTGTTCATATATATTTGATATAGATATAAACATACATATGCATACATTCATTCATTCATGCATGCATTATTTATGAATCGGTAGGTGTTGTTGATTACGTAATTTTATAAATGAGTGTATGTTTTATGTTATATCAACAAATGTTTGTCTTTTCTCCCTTAGTTGTGGCAGGAGGTAGAGGGAAAAAAGGGAAACAAGGAAATAATATCTATATATGTGTGGGTTTCATATAATGTTAAATAAGAGAAGTGTATGTGCCTTTCTAATAGCATTTTGAATTAAGAAACATACAGTGCTCTTTATTTTATTTTATTTATATATTTATTTATTTATTATTTTTTTTTTTTCAAAACTTTGATGATACCGCTTGTGTTCATGATCATATCCGACCTTCTCGATATTTTTCTGTTTGATTTAAAGGTATGAAAAATGCCAGTTTCAGATATGTTTGTCCTTTTTTATTAGAATGCGTTTTACCCTTTCAGATGTAACAGAATCACCGCTAGAGACCACTAGTACATATGAGTATGAAGGTAGGAAAGCATTACGTAAACCCGTGTATACTTTACTGTAGTCTCTAGATCTTTCGGCCGCGACATCTCTGAATTTGAAGATGATTCCCATGTCATTTTGATGTAAAAAGGAATATATTGAATACAAATACACATTTATTTTTTTCGCTATGTAATATAAAATGAAATCCTTTTCCCAGCCTCAGCTGAAACGGAAGAGCCACCTTCAGAAAGTAGTGGGTGCGTTCCCTTCCGCTACGGAGAGGAAATCGTGAGCGGATGCCTTGGCGAGGAAGGGAAGGTGAGACATTTGAGTTGGTGGGAGAGGGAGGAGCGAAGTTTAAGTTGACCCAGAGCCACAGATGGTGCGTCTCCGA